TTTTAGTAATCGAGGTACTCGAATCATTCGAGGAATTGTTTCAGCCCTACACACACACAAACTCCCATTCTTTCTCATTTCCTGTTGTTATCCAATATCCAGGCAAATCATCCAAATACTTTTGCATCATTCAAAGTTTAACCCCCATCAGACACAGAATGGAATCTGTATAGCATTATCTCCTTACTGCTATCAAAGAGAGAGCAGAACATCCAATATAGTTCATAAAAAAAAGTTTAAGGCATTCTTTGGATCAATATAATAAACTGGTGTTGATGTCGAGCCTCTAATGTTCTGTTGCTGTATCGACTTTAATTGTTGTTTTTTTTTTGTTGGTTTTTCTGTTTCCACTCGTATTTTGCCAACCTTGTCCTCTCTTGTCTTCGTCTCACGCTTCTCTGTCTCTCTCCGTTAGTGCGGCCAAGGCAAAGCCCATCATCTCTGAGCCAGAGATCCATGGCAGCCACCCTTTGGACGGTGTAACAGGATTCCTGCTGCTGATGTCAGAGGGTCTAATAAATGCCCTTGAGTCTGCCCACGGCCCAGAACAGGTCAACCAGGTTAGCAATAACGCTATTGTTCTTTTGTTGGTTCTTTTCGCTCTTCAAGCCTCAGATGAAACGTCTTTTTCACTTTGGCGTTCAAGTCTTTTTTTCCTCTTGTCATCTCAAATGTAGCTATTATTCTTTTTTTAATTGTCTCCCCTCTCCTTCGTAGGAAATTGTAGCCATGGTAGCGGCTGAGCTGGCCCAGCAGACCAGTTTGGAGGCGGTGGCTCAGTCTGTGGTGGAGCGGGTCAAGAGGCTTCACCACGACGTCTTCGTGTCCGGCCGCCAGAGAGCGGCCTTCTGCTCTCGGCACGAGGACATGACCCTGCTCATTCGCACGATCAATTACCCGCTGGCGGACGCCGCGCTCACGCCCACACAAGGTAGAAAGTGTTATTCTCAGAAGGAAAATTCCCGTTCCACCGCATTGGAGAAAATTCTGGGAAGGTTAAAGACTTCTACAACGGCTACAAAACTGTAGTGTTTTCTTTTTATTATTGCCGATTTCCTACTCGCACAATTTAAATACGATGGTTAGCTTTTATTTTTTGCAAACTCAGCTAACAACCTTTTGCTAAATAATATCTTAAGTTTGCCCTATGTAAGGTCTAGACTTTTTTTTTCTCAGTTTTGTTTTTAAATGAGCAAATATAAGGTCTGTTAAAATCAACATTCAGTTTCTTGTATTTGTACTCAGCAGTTCACAAAAAGTTGGGATTTTAATATTGGGGCACATGTATGTGTGTTTGGACCAATCGGTCCAAATCGGTCCAAACACATGTGTTTGGACCAATCGGTCTTGTGTTTGGACTTATCAATTATCGTTACTTATCATAAGAATTTCAGTTAATTGTTGTAACGATAAATTCCAATTAATTATGTTTTAAAAAACAACTGTCTTTACTGTATATTTACTGAATGCTAACGGTCTAATTAGCTGTAGCACGTCTTTTTTTTTCCCTTAGTGTACGAGCAAAACGAGTTACAGCTGCTGTCCGACTTTTAGTTATTTGTACTTTATCTACTCTCATTGGCTGCTTAACACAGTGCAGTGCGTTTCTTTGTCTTAAGGGGAATAACAAATGTCAATGAAGGAAACTAGCTCCAGGCAAACTTGGTTTGAATGCTGTGATAGAAATATTATTGTACTAATGTTTTTTCTCGGTCTCATGGGACGATTACTTGAATGCAGTTACAGTTTAAATCCTGATTCATAATTTATAAAAATGAAAGACTGTCAGCTGCTTTCATTCACTCCTGTTTTAGCCTGCTTCTGTTTGTCATAGTCATGCTTCATAAATACAGGATGCTGCGTTTGGCATGTTCCATCTTTAAGATGAATCAAAACATTCCTTACTGAAGTACATATGTTTGTTATGTCTGAAGAATGTCGTCGTGTTCGCTGCAGAATGTTTCTGAGTTTCAGAGCAGTTTCTTTTCCTGGATCGCTCCGATTGTTACAGTTGTTTTTAGTGTTTAGTTCTGGGCCTTGAGAAAATGAAATCACGACTCTTATCAGTGTTGCCAAGAATAAAAAAGGTTAAAATAACCTTCTCAATTTTTTTTTAACACATTACCAAGAAGCAACTTTTCACTGAAATCGCACGCTGTTCATCACTGTTTAATTGTATGGAAATATTTTTGAGAAAATGTTAAAATATTATGTCCCATTTCCATGTTTAAGCAACCCATCAACACTTTTAAACGGAGTGGAAAATATGAATAACTGGGACGTTTTGCCACAGATTTTAACATCTTCTCCTGCACCTCTTCCAGGCGGGCGAATTTATCCAGTTTCGGTACCGTACTCCAACAGCCAGAGCACCAGTAAAACTAGCGTGACCCTCTCACTGGTAATGCCGTCTCAAAGCACCCTGACCAACGGGACTAACACCGCCTCCACCCTGGAGGAAGGCACCCCCACACCGGGGTAAGCTTGGCTTTTTTAACTCCCTGCTGACTTTCTCCTTCCGTTGCCATTTGTTTTTCCCTTCTTCTCAAACGCCGCTGTTTTGTTTTCCTTGCTCAACCTTTGTCTTTCTTTCTTTGTTTCTGCGGTTGTGGGCGAGTTTATTTTAAGTGTATTTTAAATAAGCAAGATTAGACTTCCTCATTCTTCTTCTGCTGTATTTATTTTAAGGTGCGCTTGATTTTCACTCCCCTGCCTCCAGCCTCCGCGGCTGTGTTTGTTTACATTTAGGTAAAGTTTTTACTTCCTCACACTTGCGCTGTGGGTTGATCTGGGTAGCTTATCCTTTTGCAGCTGAAAACGGGTATTGTAATATTTAATAATACTCCTACACATAGCATATGTCAAACACAATAGTTTTAGATGTGTTAAAGTACTCAAATTCACTGTAGTTGACAAAGGACTTGCTGTTATTTCAGGGAAAGGAGGTTCTGCAAAATATTGATGCAGGTGAGCTGATTACAAGTAGTTTTTTAAAATAAATTTGCAAAAAAAAAAAAAAAACCTGCATAAAGTTGGTTAAAAAAAAATAACCCTGAATTTTGCATTGCATTGTATAGACTAGTGCTTCTTAATGAGTGGTACCGCCCCCTGCAGAGCAAGTAGAGGAGGACAAAAGGTGTTAGCAGGCTTTAAAATGTCTTAAATTCATTTTTTTTTTTAAATTAAGTTATCCATTAATATGTTAATGACAGGTCTTAAATTTTGTCGTGGCAGGATTATTTCATTTGATATAGTCTATGTAGTTTTTCAGTTTTTTTCTCATGGGACTTTTCTGTGAAGTATATCACATGCAAACATCTTCATCTGTGACTTGAGGCGGTTGCAGCTACCGATATAGCTGCTAATATACCCCTGCTAGCTAGCTAGCATTTTTGCGTCAATCATGTGCAAATTTATCGCCAGCTGGGGGAGCGACAATCATCTTCACCATCGGCTCACTTCTGTGGCCAAACATGGCAGTCAAGCACCAGTCTGACCTATTTAAGACTTTTATTGCAACAAAGTTGTTGCTACGCAGGGAACTACAGCTGAGAAAGACAAGAAAAAAAGCTGTAGATGCAGCTATGATGACAAATAGGAAAAAGATGAGGGATAACAAGATTTTTTTGTTATTTTCACAAATAGTAGCATTTCTGTCACAATATGGGTATTAAACTTCATTCATAATGGTCTTAAAAAGTCTTAATTTTGAGTTGGTGAAACCTGCTGTCACCTTGTTAGAAAAGGAGAGCGCTGCCATTCTTCATTTGTTTACAGTTTACACCAAATATGCACAACAATACCAGTTTAAACTTTGAACTACTTGCGAAAAACCATGAAATACTTAGTTTAATTGCAGGACATGTAATGTCAACATAGCAACTTGCATTAAAAAGTGTTTTAATGTGTGTTTGAATGCTGGATACTATCAGGGGAAGTCCGACATGGAACATCTTATCTTGTAAATATATAACCACCGAGATAACAATTTGCTCACAATGTATTAACCCAGTTAAGAGAAGGTAAGTTCATGAAAGAGAGCATTCATATTTCAAAGTTTACACAGTAAATACCATGAGGGTGACGTATCCTGACGTCCTGCTCTCCTGAAGGCAGCACACTACAAGAAGCTGACAGAAGCGCTGAAAGGAAGAAAAGTTACCATCAATACAGCTGCAGTGCCATGAACGTTTAAATGTGGAGCAGAGTTTAAACTGGTGGTGTACATTTTTGATGTGGTCCTTTTTTGCAAGACCGACAAGCAGCATATGAGAAAATGGCACAGAAGAACAAGAAGGAAGATCAAGCAGGAAGCAGCTGCTTGACAGAACCCTTTAGTTAGGAAACAAGAAAAACTCAAAACTTCCAAGGTTTCGGTTTGTGTCCAGTGCCATTTGTGGCAATCTGCGTCTTGATATGCTAACTCCTTTCTAAATTAGCTTGCAGATTAACAGCAATTTCTCTCCAAACTGTTCTTCCTGCGTATAATTTAGCTCTGACTGCGATTCACTTCCCTCATACGCAAAGTATGACAGCTGTTCTTCACTTTCATAATCACTAATTTTTCCTGTCTGCTGCTGTTGCGTTGGGATTAAACTGGAACTGTGACTCATGGCAGACTGTTGTGCTGCAGGAAACCTCAGCACAGGCAGAGTCACTCTGTAAACAAGCTTATGCAAAATTGAGATTATTCTGATCACCTTCTACTTCAAGTGAGGCGTTTGAGTCATCAAAACTCAAAACTAACTTTAAAAAAAAACACTTGGAGAATATTTAAGACTTGCCTCTTTCAATTTCAGTTTCTGATGCAGCGCAAAACACTACGTCAGGATATGAGATGAGAAGTATTAAATTGGTTTTTAGTTTATTTAATTTTAGATCAGCATTTTAAAATGGAATTTATCTGCGGCAGCGGCTGTATTTATTGTAATAATTAGAAGTGCGAGTTATCGACTGAGTTAATCTAAAGTTAACTAATCATTCCGATCGACTAATGAGTAATTGATAAGTGGCCATCTTATTTAAAACCTGGGTTTTCTCTTGTATCAACAGAAGCGACCGGTTTTTCACAAGATAAAGGGGCTACATTATTCATGAGGTGAAATTAAATTTAAAAAAACGAGTAAATTTAAAGATTATTTTGTGTCAGCTGTATTAAATACTGTGGCTCACGTTATTTAGCTCAGATGTATTTATAAACCATACCAAATCAGTAACCAGTTAGGTTGCCGAATAGAAAAATAAGATATGAAAATAATAAAGCATGTGAAACACGTAATCCTCCTTGAACAGAGAGATAGACAGAAGTTCAGCTATTAAGGTAATAAGTCAAAGAGCTTGTTGAGTGTTTATATTTCAAAGCAGAACGGCATAAAGTGCATTTCCAACCCTCGCGAGGCCCTGTTGCGATCGTTTCTTTTCCCGTTCTTCTATGTCACCGCCATCTTGAGTCCTATATTAAGTGGCTCCGTTTCGAGTAAAGATGACCAGCGGCGCCCTCTGCTGGATGGCGGTCAAACTACAACACTAAAAAGAGGTCTAAGCTAATCAATTGGAAATAATTTGAAACTAGAAATTAGTGGATAATTGCGATGTGATTAATTGTTTGCATCCCTATTAATTATATATGTTTTACCTGACAGGATAAGTGTTTGCCAGCCTCTTTACTGTTCAGTCTCTTGTATAACTGACTGTAGCTAATGATAAGTAGCACTTGAATATGGCTGCTGTCTGTGCAAATCGTCTTTATTTAGTCCCCCTGAGGGATAACTATCCAGGTCCTCCTCCTTTGTGAGTTCCAGTCTCTCTCTCTCTTGCTGTTTGACTCACATCTCTGTTTGTCTTTTTTTTTTAACTGGCCTGGCTTGTCGTTCTCCGTCCTGCGTCCTACTCTCCATCTTTGCCTGTCATTTTTCCACTATGCCGTTAGCATGCTGAACCCGACCGCGAGCCATGCCTCTGTTGACATCCTGCAGCCTATAATTGAACTCCCCCTTCCCAAACCCCCTCCGTCCCCTCTCCCTCTCCCTATCTCCGACTCTTCTCTCTCCACCACTCCCCGGACTCCCCTCCCTCTCTCCACCTCTCTGTTTTGTCTCTCCACTCGTGACATGGACCTCTTTCCCCCGTTCTCCTCGTCTATCCCAATCCTCATACCTGCCATCTCCTCTTCCTCCTCCACTGTTCCCCACCACTCAACTTTCTCTTCCTCCTCGCCCCCCTCCTCCTCTTCTCATCCCAGCAGCCAGAGCCCTACAGCCACCCTGCAGTCCACCAACACCCAAACACAGAGCTCCAGCTCCAGCTCGGGGGATGGAAGCCTGTTTCGTCAGAGAGGGAGCCAAGCAGTGCAGCCCGACGAGACCGGCAGGGTCCCGCCCTACGTGGACTTTAGTCAGTTCTACCGACTTTGGGGAGGGGACAACAGCGACAGCCAAAGCACACAGGGAGGCCTTGGACCCCAGTAAGGAGGAAGGTCTGAAGGAGGGGCATGAACTACAAGGAGAAATGTTGTTTATGTTTTGTTTTGTTTTTTTGTTTTTTTTATCAAACTTGTGGAATTACGAACAATATGTACTGCAAAAGAGACTTTGTGAGCGTGAGTTGGAAGGAACCGGGGCTTTCTATTATTTCTTCAATGAAAACTGTGAGGAAGTGGCGTCACACCACACCCCAATTAATGTTTGCTTCTCTTCGAAACATAAACAGTCACAACTCGATTATAGTAATCCAGATTGGTGAAGTTCCTGTTGAAGGGAACTCCAGGACCTGGACAAGGATGTTTTATTCAAGGCCTTAAACTGTAACTAATGAATGAATGAATGAAAGCATCTGAAAGTACATTTTTTATTTGCTGTCCAAATATATATATATATATATATATATATATATTCTCCAGATAATTTAAGGACTTGTCTGTGATTTTTTTTTCTATGCACATTTTTCCCATCATTATATTCCATTTATTTTGACTTGTAGTGGGACTTGATTCAGATTTGTAATCAAGTTAATCCAAAACTGTATGTCGACAACAACAAGCAACATTTTTCATTCAAAACCCTCTTTGCTGCTAAATTATTAAATACGCTTGGATAGCATCACTATCGTCACTAACTCATTTTAACACAAGTTAAACACAACGATAGACTTCTCCAGCGTCCCATCAGATTATTTTTGTGAAGCAAGAATGTGTTTTTTTGGGACCAAGATAAGCAGTTTTGATGTCTGCTGCCTGTGTTTGCGAACGTCACTTACAGGCATCCCGGAAACACGCGAATACAGAATAAACACGCGAATACAAAGGTTCCAGCCAGAACCTTTGTATGTTAAAGAAAAACTAATAAGTTAATTAACCTGTTAAACTGTTTTTAACGAATCAAAATCTATGCAGTTCATCGAAATGAATACATTAAAGTTCCAGCCATAATTCTGAACGCTAAAAAAGGGCTCCAAATGTCAGTTATTTCAAACACTGTCATAGATTATAATAAATGTATCTGTAGGGATTCAATTTTGCAACCGTATTAAATAAAAAAATAATTCAGTGATCATCTTCAGTCACTGTAGCATTTATTTACATAGGTAACTTACATTGCAAATCCACCTCAGACCAATCTCACAGATTTTTAATGAATATGTCTGGCATCATGTGCTCCTTTGCACAATGTTAAAGTAATTTTATTGTTTCTATAAATGCATTTGGTGACACCTTATTTGAATAAGGCATTTTACTTTGCATGTACAGAAAAGGTTACATACTTTCATATTATAAGCAATACCTTAAATCATGTAATGTAGCAGCAGCTCTTTTGGCTCTGTGTAGCTCTACCCAAATCCTTGTGGTCAGACTTTTGGAGAGGAAGGCTCTCTGTTCCTTTTCATACAGTACTGCGTCAGACTTCCTGCTCTCAACACCTTCACACACTTAGATATGTCAAGTTAAAAAAAAACACATAGACAGATGTGTCATTTTAAACTTTTTCTGACCTCTTGTCCAAAACGGCTGAAGAATGTCTCAACAACTTAAAAGTATTTTTTTTTATCTAAATAATAATTAAAAAAAAAAAAAAAGTCAGACAACAACTTTAGGTGGCTGAGCCAATTTTTTTTTTTTTTTACATTCCCCAGCAGAACCACTAAAGGGACCATTTGGCCAACATTCTGGCACTTTGTGACACTTGACCTTATTTCTGGGAGCAGACTAGAAAACCAGCAACATTTGATTAAGATATTTCTGTGACTGCTCATTCCATCAGAATACAACAAGAAATACTTTTAAAAAATTCTGGTTTCGTTTGTGTGAGGGTGTTTACATTTGTAAGACTGGAAAAACCCCCGACGTGAACACACCATGTGTTTGTGACATTTCTGTACTTGCTGGGCGTCTCGCCTTCGCGTGCAGCATGTTTGGATCGGTCCGCACCTCGCTCGTGCATCTCAGTGCAGCTCTCTCTCTACAGTGGGTCGGGGGGCTCTTTGTGTTGAAGACGGCCTTACAAACACATGTTTTGAGTTACTGGCCATATGTCACCAAGCAAAGCTTCAAAACACATTCTGCACATGTTACAGAAAAGGGGATTTGGCGGCAGCACAGTCGAATTTCTGGAACTGCAGTCAACGTGAAAATGGTTGATCAAGGCGAGGGGGAGGGGCAGGGGGGAACAGCCTTGTTTGTTTGATAAATCAATTTTCTGCCCACAGCCACCATCTGCAGTCCATGTTTTTAAGAAATGTGGACAGTTTAATAGGAATAATTTTAGGATATAAAGTTTAAATTTGTATCCCTAAATATGAATTGTTTTTTTTTTTATCATTTTTTTAAATAAACATTAATAAAATCTGCTGCAAGGATGAACGAACCTTCATATATCTGAGTGGAGTTTAGTCATTTCTAAACTTCTCTATTTAACCCCATATTCTTAGAACTCGGCCTAAAACGTTTGAACATGGAAACGGTTCTAATAGAAATATTTACATTTCAATATAGAATTTCAGCCATTTATTTATGTAGGTGTGACGGTGGTAAGGGTGCAGCATTTATCTTCCAAACAGAGAAGAAGTTATTCAGGTTATTCAGCTGCGCATGACAAACCAGAAACCCCCACCGCACAGACCTGAGCAACACCTCTAATCTCTAGAACCTGTTCATGCAAAGCGTCAGCAAACATGAAACTCTTTGCAAGAGAGACGTTAGATTCTGATCTGAAAAATAAATAGAAGGGGAAAAAATGGTAGATACAAAAAAACATGAGTTCATTTTCTTCTAAAAAAAAAAAAAAACAAACTTCAGCTTGTACCTCTCATTTCTAAGCTACACACACTGGAGAGTTTCTAACTTCCACCCTGTAAGGCGTTGCTTTCATTTTCAGAATAAAAACGTAAGCTGAAGCGTAAAATATAATTTCTTTAAAGATGAAATATAACAAAATCAACGCTGAGATCAACGCTGTCTCTCTCTGCCTTTTCTTCTTTTTATTGCAGCGTTTATTTCCTGTTAAAGAGTTACCAGCCGCTCAGTGGATATTTCTCCATGTGGGCGTGTTTGAGCTGTAATGCTGAAGTGCAATATTAACTCAAGTCTTACTATAACTACAGGGTTTTTTTTTTTTTTTTTTTTTTTTTTTACCAGCAACACGTCCACCTTGTTCTTTACACGTCTGTAATCAGAGTACTTCACTTTTTCTGCAAGGCAAAGAGAAAACGTTGACAGCAGTTCGACTGGAATCAAAGCCAGTTCAGGATGTGGTAAATATTATGTTTTACTAAGATCCTCTATCTTCTACATCTGTTTGTTTGTCTTTTTTATCATTTTCTGGTTGTGAAATAATTTGGTTGCTCTTTTTGCGTCTTGCTCGTTCTAAGGTCTGCAGCTCTTAAATCTAGTTATGGTGACAGAAAAGAGGCAACAGATTGATGCGAATCATCAGTAAATTGTTGAATACATGCTCATCCTGTCATCTTTTCGAATGGCCTGAGTGTGCAAATTTTTAATATTTGTTACCTTGCTTGTGAAGCTCCCATTTACCTATTCAGGTAAAACAATGGGGACTGACCCAAGTGCCTTAGGTTGACAACCATAAGCTCACCACACCTAACAATAAGATGTTTGACTTAATGTAAGGAGAAAACTTTCTTTCCATTACATGTTTTGTGAATACATCGTGTTCATAAACAATGCAGCTTTGTATCAGAAAGAACATTAAAACCGTAAACAGCTGCAGGTCTCTTAAACGAAAAGCAGTAATGGCCAGTCAGCAGTAATCGGTAACCTTTGACAACACTCACAGATCTGCCGGTCATAAAAACCGTCTTCCTGCTTCTGTCCAAAAAGGTTAATATGAATCCACCTACACGCTTGTCTTCCAGTCTAAAGCAACCACTTCGGGTTTTCACCAACATGGTGAGCGAAATGAATGATCGTTGCCTCTCGCGCTACTTTTCCGCCTTAGTTTGGATTAGAAACAGGAATTAAAATTTTCTCCCACATATTCAGATGTTTCTTCAGGTCAGTCTGTCCTCGTTTCATCAGCTTTATGATTTACTTTATCTTGTTTTAGTTTCCCTGAACCTTGATCAAAGTGTCTCTTGTGTTTGATGGCATAATCTATCACTTGGCAGCCAACCCTGACATGATTGGTTGTTGTGATGCAGTTCCCCTCCAAAACAGTTGGTGGCACCAGTGGTATATGCTTACACTTCATATATTTTAAAAATATTGCCATATATTTATTCAGTTTAAGAAAATACACTCTATTTTTAATTAATTCTTTGGAAAATACAGATGTTGTGCTCCAAAGTGACTGAGGTGATGATCAGTTGTTGACCACCCCAACATGAAAACTGGTTTCCGGGCGATAAAAATGTCTTTTCTTTCCCCTTAGAATTCATTTATATGTTGATCACTGAAACTGTCCTGATTGTTTACCATCTGCCAGACTTAAAAAGCATCTGCTGTGTTTGGCTAGCTCTGAACCTAAGCTGTAGGAGCCACCGGTTGATGGAAAAACTAAAAGAAAACTGAGTCTAACCATCCAAGTGGATGCCACTGACAGGCTGACATCAATATTTGATAAAGACGAGAAGCAGCATGATATGTGGGGCTGCTGCATCTCCCTTTATGGTTACTGATTGCTCAGAGGGAAAACAAACACAGCCTTTGAGGATGAGGATCCCAGACCGATACGAGGGATGTTACACTCCGGGAGGCGCAGCAGCCAGCTGGATTAGCCGTAACAAGACAAGGTGTTGCGAGCTTCGCTGATGCCGAGTCTCACTGAAAAGGCAATGAGTCATAAGCCCCACGTAGTGGCCAAATAAAAGGCACCTGGGCCTTTGTTCACTCCACTCAAAAGTTTCAGTGAAACATGATGAAGTATTATTGCAACAGTTACAAAAAAAATAAAAATAAAATAAAGCCTTGCCATATGGGTTTCATGAGATGCAGGCATCCAAAGTCCACACAGTTCCTCCAACAGCTCCTTCAGGGAAAATGTTAGTCAGGTAAAAAGAAAAAAAAGTTGGATGAAACATGTTTCCATGGAGCTGGAAACAGAACCACACCTGTGTGTCCGGATGAATTTTTCTGAAATGATCTAAACTGAGCCAACTTAAATATGTGAGTTTTATTAATATTTTAAGAAAAGAATTTATGATCTTTATTTTTTGTCCTCCAAGCAATCCATCTTTGTACCAAGAGCTTTGCAAACGTATCCGCATTTTGCTTAAACTTTTTTAAAAAAATTTAATATCTTCGTTCTTCCGACCAACACAAAGTAGTATATAATTATGAAGCAGAAGGATTTGTGGAGAGTTTTTTTTTCTTTACAAATAAAACTGTAACGCATATGGCATGAATTTATGTTCAGTCCCCCAGAGTCAATGCTTTGTAGGACTACCTGCACTGCAGTTTGTTTTAGGAATGCCCAAACCAGATTTGACTGAAATTGAGAGCATATGATATGATATGGAAGTTCTCAGTTGACCAAAAAAGCCTGACCACAGAGTTATCGATTTTCAGCTAGTCATCTCGCCAACTGCTAGGTCTTGTTGCGGTTTACACCAGCCAGTCATCAAAACAGTTTGTTGTCAATCAAATTGTTTTCTCGCAATACCTGGCTAAGCTTGGCTTGTACCACCCTAGAGGTGGTACAATACATACCACCTCGGGGTACGAAAACGGGGAAGAAACCGCAAAGAATCTGCTAATGGAGACGAAGCTGTTTGGGGCTGACTGGAAATGAACCAGTTAAAGCCATGCTCTTGGAGATAAAGCTCTAAGGGGCGGTATTATGTATTTTCAAGACACACTACCATTTTGTATCAATTATTTCAAGTAACTATGTTACCTATGAAAATGCTGTCAAATAACTCAAAATATAACTTAAAAGAAATTTGACTTCCTAATTTAAATGTCTTGAAATTGGGTTTCTGTCACTCTAAGGAAATCGATCAGTGTGGCTCTGATCTCAATTTGCCTTTGTTTTTGTTTTATTTTATTTTATTTTTCAGTCTTGTTTTTGCACAAAAAAAACTCATGCACAGTTGGATGCATGCAGCGGCCCTTGTCAAAGCATCTTTGAGGAATTGACACTTTCCAACAGAAGCCTCTCTGTACACCCCCATCCAGCCTCTCTCTCTCTCTCTCTCTCTCACTCACTTCCTCTCTCTGTCTCTCATATTTCAAAATGTAGATGTCTCATGATTTGCGGCCTCCCAGTCCTTCTACCCGCTGATAAAGCAGCATAAAACAGGGAGGAGCTCTCTGATCGTGGGGCTCCTCCTTCCCGTTCTCTCCCGTTTTCTTCCACTTGTCCCTCCTCCCCCCCGTCACCTCTCACACCCCCCTTCAAGCACTCGTCTCCACCTCCTCCTTCTCCTAGCAGCCTGGTGTGTAAGGAAGAGAGATGAAAAACCTGTAAAAAAAATAAAAATAAATAAATAAAATAGGCGAGTAGGGATTGGCTTTTTTTTCCAGTTTCTTGGGATCAGAACAGGCGTCACGGCGGGTGCAGGGGGCAGCGCGCGGAGTACGGAAGGGAGGAGGCGACAGCGGAGCGTAAACACGACAGAAAACGGGCGAATAGAGCGGCGAACAGCGGTGACCCCCCACCACCACCGACACCATCACCTTCTCATCTCCATCCCGTTCGTTTTTTACGCTGTTTGACTCGGCGGCTCCGCTCGCGAGAGTAGCTTCTTGTTAGCTCCGGGTTTTTGCGGAATAAACATCGGAGGCAGAAATAAGGAGGCTGTGCACGAGCGCCAGCAGCAGCAGCGGAACGAACCGACAGGATTCTCCGCGAGCTCAGGACGCTTCCGCGGCGGATAAAACCCCAGAAAGGAGAGTCGGGAGAGGCAAAGAGGATTGTAGCTGCTGAGAAGGAGCGGAGCGGAGATCTCCCCCCACCCCTCCACCGACCCCCCGGTTCTTCCCTCCGAGTCTCCAGCATCACCAATGCGATGGCATAGCGGCTCCTGCAGCAATACCGAAAGGCTCGAGTCAGATCGGCGCTGCTCGTCTCCACCATGAACCTCTGAAAAGACATCCGACACGGGCACAGATGGGTAAGAGGAGATACTCTCCTTATGAGTGTTTTTTTTTTTTTTTTTTAATAGGAGTATTCAGACAGGGTGGGGGTGTGGATGTGGATCAGGACTGCTTTTGGCGACGTTAACACTGTTCGTCTGGAATTGAACAGGGTACGGTGTTTATGATGCTGATGGGAGTTGTACCAGTCAAATGTAGTGGAACCTGGGTAGAAGTAACCACAAGCTTTTAGAGCTCGTAGCGGGGTTTATGGCTCCCATTTAAAATCATCTGCTGGGTTTAGTTTTGTGCAGATGTGAAGCCGGTGAGAAACATAAGCAACTGCTATAAGACCTCCAGGCCAGCAGGAGGCCCTCGGGATGTCTCAGAAACTCCATAAACGGCATGTTCTATTTTTATGCTTAGAAAATCAACAAGGCCATTAAGCAGTTCAGGATTGCTTCCTATAAAATAAAAATAAATTAAGTGGTATAGCATATTTTTAACCCCCTCCAGTGGTTTGTATGTTATTAAACCAGAGGCTACAAAAAGGTATACCTTCTATTTGTGAACTGGTTCATTCAGCGTTTGATGGCATGAAATTAGTAATTAATGCACAACAATTAATACCCTAACAATACCCTAATGCAGTGGTCCCCAACCTTTTTATTACCACGGACCGGTC